CCGAGAGACTGAGGCAAGAGGATCACGTGTTCCATCCCAGCCTGAACAACTTAGTGACTTTCTTCTCTCTCTCTCTCTCTCTCTCTCTCTCTCTCTCTCTCTCTCTCTCTCTCTCAGAACCAAGGATTGAACTCAGGCCCTTGCACTTGCCAGGGATGTGCTTATTCTACTGAGCCATCTCCCCGGCCCCTACTTAGTGACTTTCTGGAAATGTAACTTGAGCATCTGAACTCTGCTCTATCAGAAGCTTATTCTCTCTCTCTCTCTCTCTCTCTCTCTCTCTCTCTCTCTCTCTGAACCAAGGATTGAACTCAGGCCCTTGCACTTGCCAGGGATGTGCTTATTCTACTGAGCCATCTCCCCGGCCCCTACTTAGTGACTTTCTAAGACTTTCTCACAAAATAAAAAACAGTACACCTCCCAACTCATTTTACGAAGCCAACATTACTCTGATACCAAAATACCAAAATCAGACAAGACAATACAAAAAAACTATAGATCAGTTATCTTGCATGATCATTGTCTCATTTACTCTTCTCTCATTGCTGGGACAAATACCCGACACCCAAAATGAAGGAAAGAAAGGTTTATTTAGCTCACAGTTACTGGAGGTTTCAGTCCATACTCAGCTGGCTCCAGGAGTATGGTAGAGTGGCACAGGGCGGAGAGCGACCTTTCATGGTGGTGGCAAAGAGCAGAGAGCCAAAGGAGGAGTGGCAGCAGCTCAGGCAGCTAGCTAGCCTCTCTCCCCTCCTTACAAGATAATGTAAATTACCTGCTCCTGGGTAATCAACCACAATAATCAACCACAAATTCCAGAAGGCACCCAGTGACTGCATGAGGCTTTGGGGGACAACTATACACAAACCATAACACTCCATCCCTGGACCCCCAAAGACTCGTACACATCTCTTTACATAAAAGACATTTTAGTCTATCTCTAAGAGTTACCAAGGTCTGGGCTGGTGAGATGGCTCAGTGGTCTAAAGCACCTACTTGGAACAAGCTTAGCAAAGCACAGGGACCGCGGTTCAATCCCCCAGCACCACATGTCAGCCAGCCCCGCCCCCTGGTGGGCTGAGCTGGCCACACACACACACACACACATAAATAAAATTTAAAAAAAAAATTAAAAAAAAAAAAAAAAGAGTTACCAAGGTCTTAAAAGTTTCAGCACTGCTGAAAAGTCCAAGTCCCAAGTTTCCTCCAAGATCCAAGGCAAACTCTTAGCTGTGAGCTCCCTTACAAATGGAAAGTTAAATACTTTCAACATTCAAAGGTACAAGATAAACAGTATCATTCCACAAGGTATACACAGGAGGCTACAAACCACTGGGGCCAAAACAAGTCCAAAATCCAGAAGGGCAAACATTAAGTCCTGTAGTTCCATGTGGAACATCCAAAGCAACCAGTAACGCGTTGTGAGCCCCCAAAAGCCTTACCTGGCTCCACCCCAGTGGCACTCTTGGTGGTAGCTCCCGTGGCTTCTTTCTTAGGCTGGCTTTGCTTCCTCCTTGCACTTTCCCTTAGCCACGTTTCTGGCTTTTCCAAACTTCTGGAATTTCCACTGAATAGGCTTCTCACTCACGGCTTTACACACTGCCCTCCCAGGGGCTCACCGCCTGGCTTCCTAGGCCTTCTGAAACTGAGGTGGAAGCCTTCTTGACCTCAGAACTCTCGCATTCTGTAAGCACTTAAAACCAGTGCCACGTGGATGATGCCAAGGGCGGCTGCCAGCTGGAGCAGTAGCCAGGCTTCCTTCTTTCTTGGCTGCAGGGGTCAAGTGCCTGGCTCGCTGAGCACTCTGACCTTGATTCTGAGGAATAAATTCTGCAAGCCACCTCCATTCTGATACACCGGGCTCTGCTGCTTTTTTCTCAAGGCGAAGTCCCTAACCCTTGTAATTCTCAGGCTGCAAAGGGTGGAGACCTGCTGCCTCCAGTGAGGCCCTCAAGCCATCTTTTCCATTTTCTTGTTTCTTCTCGGCAATGAAGTCCTCTCAGCAATATGTTGGCATTCCACAGCTTTATTGGCTCTTCCTTTCTTGCCAACCTTACAACATTTTAAATCCCCCTGCTGGGCTTTGCTCTGGATTCTCAACATAAATTTGGCTATAATCCCCCAATGATAGCAATGCCACTACCTCAACATTTAACTGCTTTGACATTTCAAGATTAGTCCACTGCACTTAATCTCAGTTTCTGCAGTCTCTGGACATGAGCAAAATGCAAACTTTCTGCCAAGCCATAACACAAATCATCTGCAGTCCAACAACCAATGCAGTCCTTCTTCTCAGTAGAAACCTTCCCAGCCTGGTCTTTACAAGCAGGCTTTCTATCAGCCTTCTGGTCTGCTCAGCTCTGACCAGAATCTCCATACAGAACAGCTGAAGCTGTTCCAGTGCTTCTCTTGTAGGCAACATCTCCCAGCCTTTCCTATCTCTTCCCATAA